GTAATAAATGTGCATGAAATGTACAATAAATTTATATTTAAAATAAGTTATTTTCAGGTGGATCAATTCCCCTAATTTTAAACATCACTTTTCCTCAAGAAGCACTATAGATTTAAAGACTAAATTTGTTATCATGTGGTAGTGGATTTACTTTTTAGATAACTAAAAAAATTGTTTTAGAAATGTTATAGTCTAACTTAAAAGAATTTTTAGTAAAGCAGATGATAACTAAGGTATCATAACATTTATTATTAAATTTAGCAAAACTGATTTTGTATTTAATTCAAACATAATTGAAATTTCCCTAAACAATGGATTCTTAGAAAAATATTAATTTCGGAATTTATGAAATCTACATTGAAAAATAATTTTTACTAATACTTTCAGAAATTAAGTAAAGAATTGATCTTACGTTCTTCCTTAGAAACATTCAAGTGAAACCAATTTTTAATTAGGTCCTATTCCGCAAACTTCTCCTCCCTTTTTCAGACTTTACTTTTCTTTTCTATTTCTTTTTTTTTCTTTTGATTTTCTTTTTTTTGTTTCTTTAAGAATCTTTTTAATCCTTACTTTTTTTTCAGGTGAGGATTACTATATCTGGATAAACTTTTAATGATTTTGAATTTTACTATCCCTTCTCTATAGTTAAGAATTTATGTTCTATCCTTAACTTAAAATATAATATAAATTTTTTAAAAAGAAAATTCATAGAATCTAAATTCCTCAAAAAGAATTATTCTAAAAATCCTTAATTTTTCAGAAATTCAATTCTTCCTACTATAAATAGTAAATCATTTCCCTACTATTTTCTACTAAATATCTTAGCTTTAGTTTCATCCTTTTCACTAACGTTTCTAGTAAGTCCTTTGATATCATTCCTAAAAATTAAATGTTTAGTATTCTAAAGATAACACAACATACCTCAAATCATTTTAAAAGTAAAATCAAATTAAATGTAGGTTACTGAAAACAAATAAAGTTAAGTTTTAAAATGATTTTTCACCCCCCAAACTTGATTTTTAAATAGTTTAAAAGTACATATCAAGTATGTAAAGAGATAGATTTAAAAGAATTATCTGTCACAGGGTTCCAAAAAAATAGTATTTTAGTAAAAATTGGTGTGTGTAGTAGTACACCTTAAATTAATATGTCTAGCATGAAAATTGCAAAGTAAAACACTACACTAACACACAAACAATACTATATAAATTGAAGCAAATAAAAAGTTTTAAAATGTTTTTCTTCCCACCAAACTTGATGTTTAACATGTATAACATTTAGTAAAAAAAATATAAACATGAAGAAAAATAGTTCTATCGCAAATGTCTATCAGAAACATCTGCAAGTATTCATC